TGGTCTGGGAGGCAGCTCTATTTAGTTTCGCTGTTTTCTCGTGTTAGCCTTTCAGCGAGTGTACTTCTATTTTTAATGAGTACGGGGTGTCTGTCAGGAGAGCTTTAGGCGCCTGGAGCAGAGTGGGGGGGCTGGGGATCCCCTCACCGCCAGTTGCTTGATGATGTCCTCCCTGTCCTTCAGGCGGGCCTGCAGACGCCCGATGAGCTGGAGGTCCTCAGGCCTGGACGCTGCCTTCCCGGGCTTCTCTCCGGGGTCTTTCAGCCTGTGGAAGGTGCAGGTGGTTAGCACCCTCAGGGTAGTGCCCTCAGGGTTAGCACCTTGGCAGTTAGCGCCTTTGGAGTTAGCGCCCTTGGGGTTAATGCCCTCCTGGTTAGTGTCCTCCTGGTTAGCGCCCTTGGGGTTAGCACCCTCGGGGTTAGTGCCCTCCCGGTTAGCACCCTCGAGGTTAGTGCCCTCCGGGCTAGCGGCCTCCTGGTTAGCGCCCTCCCGGTTAGCATCCCCCTGGTTAGCGCCCTCGAGGTAGTGCCCTTGTGGCAAGGACTCGGCAAGGGCGTGGCTCAGCTGTGCCCCCAGGCTGCGTAGAGACTGCTCAGGCCAGCCAGGACCGTGGGGACTTCCGAGCCAAGGACACCGGCGGCTGGGGAAAGAGCCACGGTGGGCAGGCAGGTCCCCCGTGAGCCGGCCAGGTGGCCAGTGCCTGGTGGCCGGGGGCCTCCTACTGGGGCACGGGGTGTGGCATAGGCAGCGGGCCCTGGCCCTTGGGTGAGAGGAATGTGCACCAGGGCTGTGAGGACCTTGGGCGTCTGGATGGGAGGCCAGGCTGGGCTCGTCTCCCACGTGACCAGAGATGTCACCCAGGGAGAGTCCTGTTCGCTTGTCCCCCCCCCCCCCATCATCAGCCTCGCTGAACACGCACTTCACGGAATCGCGGACAAAGGCAATGATGTCTCAGTTTGCTGTGACTTTGTCTTGACACTGGCAGAACCTCCCGCTGCGGCTTTCGGTGACTTGCTTTGTGTCGGGAGGGGACGACAGATGTTAAGAGCGCGGGCTGAGTGTCGGGTCCCCCCTTCTGCCAGGATTTCACCCTGACCTGCAGGTCGCCTGACGCCTGGCACAACGCAGGCACGCGGCAGCCCCTCACAGGGTCTGGCTGGACACTCGCACACACACATGCATGTAGAATGGACACACGCACACGTGTGGGCCCCTCGCTCCCACAGAGCACACCGCGTCTGCCTCGGGAGGGCCCTGAGGGCTGGCAGCAGCACGGCTCAGGTGGGGTGGGTGGGAGCCCAGAGGCCACCTGGGCCTTCCGGTGCCTACACACGCGGGGTGGCCGGGGGCAGCACTCCTGCTCAGTCCTGGGGCCCAGAGGGGGTGCTGGCCCTGCTGCTTGCTGCCACCAGCCTGCTAGCACCTGGGCCAGGCCTCTGGGACACGGGCACCCCGTCAGCGCCTGGTCAGTGCCATGTCTGCTGGCCACCGTGACCCGGGTCACTTACTCTGCTTCCAGGGCAGCCAGCCGTGCCTGGAGCCGGGCCTGGGTGCCACTGAACTCCGCCACTGCGGCCTGCATCTCCTGCCGGTGCTCCCGCCGCAGCGCCTCCACCTCCTGGGCCCGCTGGGCCTGCCCCTCCTCCAGGAGCCTGTGGGGGCAGGGGATAGTGGGGCTCAGGCTGCTCCCCCAGGCCTGCCCCTCCTCCTGCAGCCTGGGAGAGTGGGAGGCACTGGCAGCATGAGCACCCTGCTGGCGGGCGGGCAGGAGGGGGACCCTGGATGGGGGACGAGGGTCTGAGGTGGGACATGGAGGGAAGGAGAGCTCGTGTGACTGTGGGTTCAGGATGAACCCCAGCGGGGGCCATTTCTCTGCACTCCCAAGGGGAAGCTGAGCATGGAGTTTCTCCGGGAAAAGGGCGCAGCCCCAAGAGGAGCCCCAGAAACCCCCTTCCCATGGGAGGCCGCGGCCGAGCTTCCCCCCGCGGAGGCCAGGACCAGGGCCTGGAGGCCGCGCCCAGACCACCTCCATCACTCCTGGGGCCACGGGGGAGGGCCGAGCTTGTGCGGGAGCGGCCCGTGGCACAAGCCCTGTGTGCCTTAGTGCCGTCTCCTCCACCAGAGGCCGGCAGAGAGGGTCCTGTGAGCACGTGGCCCACGGCCGGGAAGTGCACATAGACTTCTGGGCCATCATGGCCTTCTCAGGGAGGGGCTGTCGCTCTCCTCACCTGGAGGGGCTATGGCCCCAACGCCCAGGGTGCACACTCCTGTCCAACCTTCTCGTGCAGGACCCCGTGGCAGGCCCTGCCTGAACCTGTTTGGTGAGCTCCGGGCTCCTCTGAGCCTTGGGTCTGCGGTTGTTTTGGGGGGTGAGGCCTGTGTCCTCAGCCTGCTGGGGACTCTCTTGTGCCACCTGTCACTGTGGGAGCCGTCGGGGAACCGTCTCCACCCCTGAGCACAGGACTCGGAAGGTCCCTGCTGGGCTGGAGTCCTGGGGCCTCGCTCCACATCAGGCCTGTGCTCTGGAGTGGAGCCTGGGATGGCAAGCCTCCTTCAAGTCGTTCGGCCCACGAGTGAGATTCACACCTCGCCACGCCGTCTCTGCCAGCCCAAATCTCTGCAGGGACACACGGTGGTGCCTGCACACTCAGGGAGTACCGGAGCCGTGAGGCCGGGCCTGTCGGTGGGGGTCCTGCTCATCCGGCTGCACCACGTGTTCACAAACACGTGTAAAAATCCATGACGGGGAACCAGCAGATAGCATAATGGCTATGTCGCTGGATCCCCATGTAGTAGACTGCGGTTCGCGTCCCAGACCCGGTGGCTTAGAACTCATGCCGGGTGCATGTGCGTGTGTGCCCAAGATCCCAAGAGGAGAATGGAGGAGAAGGGATTGCGGCGTGACCATCCCCCTGGGGGATGATTTCTCGCTTTCTGTCTCTTTGTCTGTCTGGCGAGCGCACACGCCCTATAGCAAAAACCTCTCTCTCAAAAAAAAAATATCCGTGATGGTGCAAGCATGCAGTGAGAGACATGGACACCCTCCACGGGGCCTAGTCATGCCATGCCCCTCTGCCTCCAGTCCTCCAGCTGAGTTGGCTGGGCCAGGGCTGTGAACTGTGCTGGCCTCGTGGGACCCACGTCTCTCCTCCTCTGTTTAATCTGCCAGAGGGCACATGTGCTCGCTGGAGAGAGACAGAGGGAGGGTCCTGGACCTGCTGGCTGGTTTTCTCCCTTTCCATTTCTGTCTCTCTCTGGTTAAATTAAAAAATAATAGTAATAAAATTAAACAAATAAGTCTTTAAAAATACAGAATGATAAAAGGGGAAAATTATGAATAACTAAATGACTTTACCGTCGGGACATTCAAAAACCTGGATGGAATGGACGCCAGCCTCGCGAGCTGCAAGCTAGCAGCCTCGCTGAGAAATCGCCACCATCAGACCTGGGCGGAGGGAAGCCGAGAACTCGCACGGACTGACCTCAGGGGCACTCGCCGGCCCTGAGCCCACGCAGCCTTCCCGAGGGGCCCAGCCCGGCCCAGCTCCCTGCCAGATGCCCCCAGGCCAGACAGTGAAGCTGGGCTGGGTGCTCCTGTAATGCTCCAGGCCGAAGTCCCTGCAGACGTGAGATCGAGACTTCCGGGAGCCCCTGGGTGGGTCAGGGGGTATCAGAAGTCGTTGGGGGTGCCCAGAAGGTGACCAGCCTGGGACCTCAGAGGCTGAGCAGGCAGAGCCAGGCAGGGAGGGGAGCGCCACACACCGACCTGTGCTGGTCGCGGAGCTGCAGCGCCTCCTGCTGGTGCCGCTCCACCTCCGCCCGCAGCCGCCTCACCGCCTCCGTGAGCTGCGCATTCTCTGCCTGTAGTTGGCGTCCTGCGCTGGGACCCTGGTCGGCGCCACCCGCGTCCTGAGAAGGCAACCAGGGAGGTGTAGGTGGGCAAGGGTGGGCAGGCCCAGAGGGCCGCAGACGCGATGGTGCGAGATGGAGACCCGCGTGTTCCGGAGTTACAGACAGACGGCACACAGGGCCTGTCCCCCATCCCCACAGAGAAGGTCCTCCTGTCCCAGAAAGGGGCAGGGCAGAGCAGGGCAGGACCCAGAGCTTACTCTTTATGGCAGGGGGGGCTGGGGAGGCGTACTGACCTCTGTGCTGGCGGCTTGGTCCTCGCCGCTCCCTGGACGCTGGCCGGTGGCCTGGCGAGTGCCCAGAGCCCTCAGCTCAGCCTGCAGTGCCTCCAAGTCCTTCTGGTGCCCAGAGCAGGCGGCCCGCTGTGCTGACAGCTCCTGCCTGAGGGACTCTGAGGGCAGAGGGGCAGGCGCGGTCAGGCCTGCCTTGGGTCTGCAGGGATGATGGTCCGGGGGCTGCTGAAGGAGGCGGGTGGAGGTCCCCGTCCTTATTCCAAGAGAAACGCTGCCATCGTGCCCTGAGCACCAAGCACACGCCTCTGGAAACGTTCTCTGATGCCTCGTCTCAGCGTCTCCCACGTGGCCGCCTCCGCGTGCCCTCGCCTTACTCCCTCCTGAAGCACCAGTCAGCCATACCGACAGATGGGCGGACGGCTGTTCGAGGGAAGCCAGCCGCCTCCAGGACGGTGCTTCCACGTAGAGGTGAGAAAACCCCTCGCCCCTCATTCTTGTAAGGGAGTTCCAAACTGTCTGGGCCTGAGAGTAAGGCCAGTGTGGTCTCTGTAGCCAGGCACACAACAAGAGGGCACGTGTTCTGCTGAGACCAGCAGACGGCATAATAGCTATGCTGCCGGACTCCCATGTGGTCAACCACGGTTCGAGTCCCAGACCTGGCAGCTTGAAACTCACAGTGGGCGCACGTGTGTGCATGCCCAAACTCCTGAGAGGAGAGTGGAGAAGGGATTGTGGCGTGGCCATCCCCCTGGGTTGTGATTTCTTGATTTGTGTCTCTCTGTCTCTCCCTGTCTCTCTGGTGAGCACACGTGCCCTATAGCGAAAATCTTTCTTTAAAAATAAATAAAGAAATAAAGGTGTGTGTTTTGCTTTTTGAAAGAAGTGAGAAGACAAGAGTAAAGGGGAAAATGGGCAAAAGAGACAACATGAGAACCCGAGGCGCCGTCCCCGGAGTGGGCCCCGCGGGCGGAGCGTCTGAGTGCCCGGGCAGCGCTCCCCACACCCATCCCGTCATCACGACACAGCCCTGCAAGCTGTGCTGCTGGGATCCCCATATCGGGGGTGGGCAGCCGAGCACGGGCGGCTGAGCTCACCCGAGGGTGAGGGGCTGCTGACATCTGAACCCGGCCTTTGGCTCTGGGAGCTGAACCG